AAATGCTGAGTTTTTTTATCGCTGAGCCATCCCAATTTCTTCCTCCTCCCCAATGATATATCATATTAGGACAACTCAAAATCCCTCCATGATTTCGTCAGATAATTCCCCAACACCACCATCATACGCGATGACTGACAGATTCTGGGAACTTCAAACTTTCTGATTGACTGAATCATCCCTCAGTACCAACTCAGCCTACGAGCAGTATTGATGACAACAGTTTAACAACACTGAGGATATAACATGACACCTTTCATACTTTCTCCCGTCGGGAAGGAGGCCACAGGACAGCTTACCTGTTGATCCCACAAGCAGGAAATCACAGTTTAGTTTCTGCTTTTAGGAAAGACGAAGCAGATATTTGAACTCTCCTGAAGTAGTTCTCTTCAATAAATTATTCTAGAAGCTTCTCTCATGGCAACTAGCGAGAGATACAGGATCACGGTTTTTCAGGGCTAAGGTTTAGGCAACCAGTCCTTCTTAGACGTGCTTATCGGTGAAATTTACCATCGTTCTTCATTACCCTGCGAAACAGATGCTGGGTAAACTACTGTTTCTTTCTGGTGTTGCGAGGTACGAACCATTAACAAGATCCAACCTGATAGTGATCCTGAGCTGCAGTCTCCGAGCATTAACCTGGTCTTCCCCCATACCTTCCTAGCTGCACACATTTCCCCTCAATCCCGCCACGTTACTCCTCCCCATACTACCGAACAACCAACCTCCCAACTGGTAACAACTGGAAATACTGCTCCCCCGAGGGTTACAGAACAACGTGAACCACCATCCGGAGAGGAGCCCACACATTGCCTTCGTACCACAGCTGTATCCGTAGGGATAAGCACCGGGGTGCTGGCCAGAAAGAGGTGAAACTTTTTGTAATCCTCAAAATTGTGCTTTGGGGTGTGGGCAAAGAAGAGAACAAAGTGACGAGTAAGAGCAAGTCCGAGAAACAGGCCGTTTTCGTTTCCGTAAGTGGCTGTCAACTTGTTACCATTGTGTAAATGATGAAGCTTATTCTGCTTGGTATAAAGAGTCAGCTACTCCACTCAGACTTGCATCTGGAGTTGTGTCTAAAATCTCCGCTAGCAATTCTAAATTTGTCTTTCTCGGTGAACATTTTGTCATCGTCCAATAATAGAGAAATTTTTTGGTGTTGACGTGTTTTTAATGCTGAAGTTTTTAAAAATACCCTGAGCCATCCAATTTCTTTCCTCCTCCCCAATGATATACTTCAGATTAAGGACAACTCAAAATCATCCTCCCTGATTTCGTCAGATAATTCCCCAACACCACATCATAACGCGAATGACTGACAGATTCTGGTACTTTTTCAAACTTTCTGATTGACATGAATCAACCTCATACCACCTCAGGGCCTACGAGCAGTATTGATGACAACAGTTACACACATGAGATACATCATGACACCTTCACTTTCTCCGTCGTGAGGAAGGGCCACAGGGACAGCTACATTGTTGATCCCACAAGCAGGGAAATCACACAGTTAGTTTCTGCTTATAGGAAAAGGAAGAAGCAGATATTGACACTCCTCCTGGAAGTAGTTTCTCTTCAATAAGATTTATTCTAGAAGCTTCTCATGGCCACTAGAGAGAGATACAGATCACGTTTTCAGGGCTAAGGTTAGGCCACCAGGCCTTCGTTAGACTTGCTTAGCGGTGAAATACATCGTTCATTTCATTACCCTGCGTATACATCATGGCTGTATACCTTTACTGTTCTTCTGGAGTTGCAGGTAACGAAACCATTAACAAGATCCAACCTGATATGATCGCTGATCTGCATTCACCGAGCATTAACCTGGTCGTCCCATTCCTAGCTGCAACACATTTCCCCCCCCTAATCCCCCGCCACCGTGTACTCCCGCATACACCGAACACCAACCTCCCCATCTGTAACAACGGGAAATACTGCTCCTCCCGAGGGTTTACAGAACATGACGTGTAACCTCCCATCCGGAGAGGAGCCCACACATTGGCCTTCCGTACCACAGCTGTATCCGGGTGGATAGACACCGGGGGCTGCCAGAAGAGGTGAAACTTTTTTGGATGAGATCCCTCAAATAGAGGTCTGGTGTGTGCTAAGAAGAGAACTATAGTGACAGTAGACTATTCGAGAAACTGCAGCCGTTTTCTTTCCGGTAAAGGTGGCTGTCACTGTGTTACCATTGTGTAAGGTTGAGGAAGGGCCTGTATCTGCTTTGTATAAAGAGTTCAGCTACTCCCACCAGACTGCATCAGTTGTGTCTAAAATCTCTCCGCCAAGCAATTCTAAATTTGTCTTTCTCGGTGAAAAATGATTGTCATCGTCCCAATAATAGGAATTATTTAGGGTGCCGTGTTTTAATGAAGAGTTTTACCCTGAGCCATCCCCAATTTCCTTCCTCCCTCCCCAATTATATACTTCAATTAGGACAACGCAAAATCCCTCATGAAGTCGTCAGATAAGTCCCCAACACCAACGCAGCATACGCATGACTGACAGAGGTCTGTTACGTTTTCAAACTTTCTGATTGACTGATCATCCTCAGTAACCAACTCAGGCCTACGAGCAAGTAATTGATAGACACAGTTTACACACTGAGTACATCAGACACCTTTCTACATTCTCCGTCGGAGGAGGGCACAGGGCAGCGACCCTTGTTGATTCCCACCAAGCAGGGAAATCACAGTTATTTGTCTGCTTTTAGGAAAAGGAAGAAAAGCAGATATTTACACTCTCCTGGAAGTAGTTCTCTTCAATATGATTTATTCTAGAGCCCCCTTCTTCATGGCACAAGAGAGAGATACAGGATCACGGTTTTCAGGCTAATGGTGTTAGCACCAGTCCTTCGATAGACTTGTGCATTATCCGTGAATACATCGTTCATTCATTACCCTGCGTATAAACGAGATGCTGGAATACCGTTGACTGTTCTTCTGGAGTTTTCAGGGTAACGAACCATTAACAAGAACCAGGGACCTGATAGAGGATGCTGAGCTGCGTCTCCGAGCCTTAACCCTGGTCTTCCCCAGTCCTAGCTGCACCAACATTTCCCCTCAATCCCGCCAACCGTTACGCCCCATAGGGACTACCGAACCACCAACCACCCATCTGGTAACAACTGGAAATACTTCTCCTCCCGAGGGTTACAGAACATGACGTGGAACCTACCATCCGGAAGGAGCCCACACATAGCCTTCGAACCACAGCTGTATCCGGGTGGATAACACCGGGGGGTGCTGGCCAGAAAGAGTGAAACTTTTTGTAATCCTCAAAGTTGAAGTCTTGTGTGTGCAAAGAAGAGAACGAAAAGTGACGAGTAAGAGCTAGTCCGAGAAACACCGTTTTCCTTCTTTCCGGTAAGGTGGCTGTCAGCTGTGTTTACCATTGTGTAAGTTGATGAAGCCTTATCTGCTTTTGTATAAAGAGTCCAGCTACTCCCACCAAACTTGCAATCTGTTGTGTCTAAAATCTCCGCAGCAATTCTAAATTTGGTCTCTCGGTGAACATGTTGTCATCGTCCAATAATAGGAGATATGTTTGTTTACGTGTTTTAATGCTGAGTTTTTACCCTGATCCATCCCAATTTCGCTTCCTCCTCCCCAGATGATATACTTCAGATTAGGACAACTCAAAATCTCCTCCATGATTTCGTCAGATAATTCCCCATCACCACCATCATACGCATGACTGCAGATTCTGGTACTTTCCAAACTTTCTGATGACTGAATCATCCTCAGTAACCAACTCTCAGAGCCTAACGAGGCAGTTAGTGATGACAACAGTTACAACACTGACGATACATCATGACACCTTTCTACTTTCTTCCGTCGGGAGGATGGCCACAGGGACAGCTACCTTGTTGAGCCCCACAAGCTGGGAAATCACAGTGTAGTGTGTCTGCTTTAGTGAAAAGGAAGAAGCAGATATTGACCACTCGCCGGGTAGTAGTGTCTCTTCAAAAGATTTATTCTAAAGCTTCTTCATGGCAACTAGAGAGAGATACAGGATCACGGTGTTTCAGGGCTAGAGGTTAGGCACCAGCCTGCGTTAGGACTTGCTTTATCGGTGAAATACATCGTTCTTGTTCTTCATTACCCTGCGTATACAGAATGCGGTATACCTTTACTGTTCATTCTGGAGTTGCAGTACGGAACCATTAACAAGATCCACCAACCTGATAGTGATCGCTGAGCTGCAGTCCCTCTCAGCCTAACCTGGTCTTCCCCATTCTAGCTGCACACATTTCCCCTCAATCCCGCACCGTTACTTTCCCCAAACTAAACGAACACCAACCTCCCATCATGTAACAACTGGAAATACCTGCTTCTCCCGAGGGTTTTACAGAACTGACGTGACTACCATCCGGAGAGGCGCCCACACATTTGCCTTCGTACCACAGCTGTATCCGGTGGGATAACACCGGGGTGCCTGGCCAGAAAGAGGTGAAAACTTTTTGTAATCCTCAAATTGGTAGTCTGGTGTGCAAAGAAGAGAACTAAAGGACGAGTAGAGCTAGTCCGAGAACAGCCGTTTTCTTTCCGGTAAGGTGGCTGTCAGAGCTGTAGTTAACCATTGTGTAGGTTTGATTGAGCCTGTATCTCTGCTTTTATAAAGAGTCCAGCTACTACCCACAGCACTTGCATCTGATTGTTCTAAAATCTCGCTAGCAATTCTAAATTTGTCCTTCTCGGTGAACAAGTTGGCATCGTCCCCATAAAGGAAGATATTTTTGTGTTTGGACGTGTTTTAATGCTGATTTTTACCCTGAGGCCATCCCAATTTCTTCCTCCTCCCCAATGGATATACTTCAGATTAGGACAACTCAAAATCTCCTCCATGATTTCCGTCAGAAATTCCCCACCACCACCTTCATACGCGATGACTGACATATTCGTACTTTTCAACTTTCTGCTTGACTGAAATCATCCTCAGTACCAACTCAGGCCTACGAGCAGTATTGATGACAACAGTTACACACACTGAGATACAACATGACAACTTTCTACGTTCTCCGTCCTGAGGATGGCCCACAGGGACTCTTCCTTGATGAGCCCACAAGCAGGAAAATCACAAGTTAGTTTCTGCTTAGGAAAAGAAGAAGCAGATATTTGTCACTTCTCCTGGAAGTAGTTCCTTCATAGAATATATTCTAGAATCTTCTTCATGGCACTTGAGAGAGATACGGATAACGGTTTTCAGGCTAAGGTTGAGGCACAGCCTTCCGGTTAGACATGCTTTATCGGTGAAATACATCGTTCTTCATACCCTGCGTATACGATGCTGGTATAAACCTTTACTGTTCTTCCTGAGTTGCAGGGTACGAACCATTAACAAGATCCAACCTGATAGTGATCGCTGAGCTGCAGTCTCCGAGCATTAACCCTGGTCTTCCCCCATTCTACGCACACATTTCACCTCAATCCCCGGCCACCGTTACTCCCGTAACTCCCATACATACCGAACAACCAACCTCCCATCTGGTAGACAACTGGAAATACTGCTCCTCCCGAGGGTTACAGAACAGACGTTAACCTACCATCCGAGAGGAACCCACACATTGCCTTCGTACCACAGCTGTATCCGGGGGATAAGAACACCAGGGGGTGCTGCCAGAAAGATGTGAACGTTTTGTAAATCTCAAATTGTAGTCTGGTGTGAGCAAAAAAGAACTAATGTGACGAGTAGAGCTAGTCCCGAGAAACACCGTTTTCTTTCCCTCGGTAAGGTGGCTTGTCACTGTGAACCATTGTGTAAGTTGATGTAGCCCTGTATCTGCTTTGTATAAAGAGACAGCTACTCCCACCAACTTGCATCTGTTGTGTCCTAAAAACTCCGCAGCAATTCTAAATTTGTCTTCTCGTGAACATGTGGCAACGTCCAATAATAGGAGATATTTTTGTGGTTGACGTGTTTTAAATGCTGAGTTTTTACCCTGAGCCATCCCATTTCATCCTCCTCCCCAATGATATACTTCAATTAGACAACGCAAAATCTCCCCATGATTCGTCAGATAAGTCCCCAACACGCACCATCATAAACGCGATACTTACAGGATTCTGGTTACTGTTTCAAACTTTCTGATTGACTGCATCGATCCTCAGTACCAACCAGGCCTACGAGCAGTATTTGATGACAACAGTTACACACTGAGATACCATCAGAAAAACCTTTCTACTTTCTCCGTCGGAGGAGGGGCCACAGACACTACCTTTTGAGCCCCAAGCATTGGAAATCACAGTTATTTCTGCTTTAGGAAAAGGAAGACAGATATTTACACTCTCGCTCCCTGGAAGTAGTTCTCGTCAATAAGATTTAGTTCTAGAAGCTTCTTCATGGCAACTGAGAGAATACAGGATCACGGTGTTTCAGGACGAAGGTTAGGGCAACCAGTCCTTCAGTTAGAAGACGTGCTATCGGGAAATACATCGTATTCTTCAATACCCGCGTTACAGATGCTGGTATACCTAACTGTTCTACTGGAGTTGCAGGTACGAACCATAAACAAGATCCAACCTGAAGTGATCGCCTGAGCTGCATCTCCGAGCATTAACCTGGTCTTCCCCCCATTCCTAGCTGCACACATTTCCCCTCAATCCCCCACCGTTACTCCCCTAACTACCAACACCAACCTCCCATCAGCTGGTAACACTGGAAATACTGCTCCACTCCCGAGGGTTACAGAACATGACGTGTAACCTACCATGCCGGAGAGTAGCCCTCACATTTCCCTTCGTACCACAGCTGTATCCCGTGGGATAACACCGTGGGGGGGGGTGCTTGGCCAGAAAGAGGGTGAACCTTTTTGTAACCCAAATTGTAAGTCTGGTGGTGCAAAGAAGAGAACTAAAGTGACGAGTAGACTAGTCCGAGAAACAGCCGTTTTCTTTCCGGGTAAGGGGCTGTCAGCAGTGTTACCATTGTGAAAGTTGATGAAACGCTGTATCTGCTTGTATAAAGAGTCAGCTACTCCCACCAGACCTTGCATCTGTTGGTTCCTAAAATCGCCCGCAAGCAATTTCTAACTTTGTCTTCTCGGTGAAACAAGTTGTCATCGGGGGGTCCAATAATAGGAGATATTTTTTGTGTTGGACGTGTTTTAATGCTGAGTTTTAAAACCCTTGAGGACATCCCTATTTTCTCATCCTCCCCCAATGAATACTTCAGATTAGGACCACTCAAAATCTCCCTCCAGATTTTCGTCAGATAATTCCCCAACACCACCATCCATACGCCGATGACGGACATATTCTGGTACTTTTCAAACTTTCTGATTGACTGAATCCTCCCTCAGTACCAACTCAGCCTACGAGCAGTATTGGATGACTACCGTTACACACTAGTATACATCATGAACACCTTTCTAACTATCTTCTCCGTCGGGAGGAGGGCCCACAGGACATCTACCTTGTTGATCCCACAAGCAGGGAAATCACAGTTTAGTTTCGCTTTAGAGGAAGAAGGAAAACAGATGATTTGACCCTCTCCTGGAATAGTTCTCTTTCAATAAGATTTATTCTAGAAGCTTCTCTCATGGCATCTAGAGAGGAGATACAGGACACGGGTTTTCAGGGCTAAGTTTGGCACTCAGCCTTCGTTAGACTTGCGTTATCGAGAAATACATCGATCTTCATATAGACCCCTGCGTATACAGATGCGGTATACCTTAACTGTTCTTCTGAGTGTTGCGGTACGAGACCAGTAACAGATCCCATCCTGAATAGGTGATCGTCCCTGAGCATGCAGTCCTCCGAGCATTAACCTGGTCCTTCCCCATTCCTAGCTGCAACACATTTCCCCCTCTATCCCGCCACCGTTTTACTACCCCATACTACCAGAACACACACACCTCCCATCTTGGTAACACTGGAAATACGGCCCTCCCGAGGTTTACTGACAAGACGTGTAACCTACCATCCGAGAGGAGCCCACCCATTTGGCCTTCGTTTCCACAGCTGGTAATCCGGTGGGATAACACTCGGGGGGGTGCTGGCCGGAAAGAGGTTGAAACTTTTTGTAATCCTCAAATTGTAGTCTGGTGTGTGCAAAGGAAGAGAACTAAAGTGACGAGTAGAGCTTAGTCCGGAAACGAGGCCGTTTCATTTCCGGAAGGTGGCTGTCAGTCTGTGTTCCATTGTGTAATTGAAGAAGCCGTATCTGCTTTGTAGAAAGAGCAGCTACTCTCCCACCATACTTGCATCTGTTGGTGTCTAAAAATCTCCGCAAGCAATTCTAAATTTGTCTTCTCGGTGAACTTGTTTGTCAATCGTCCTATAATAGAGATATTTTGTGTTGACGTGTTTTAAAATGCTGAGTTTTTACCCTGAGCCATCCCAATTCTTCCTCCTTCCCCCAATGATATACTTCAGATTAGGACAACTCTAAATCTCCTCCATGATTTCGGTCAGATAATTCCCCAACAACCACCATCAATACGCGAATGACTGACAGATTCTGGTACATTTCAAACTTTCTGATTGACTGAATCATCCCATACCAACTCAGCCTACGAGCAGGTAGTGATGACACAGTTACCACTGAGATACATCATGACACCTTTCTACTTTCTCCGTCGGGAGGAGGGCCACAGGACAGCTACCTGCTTGATCCCACAGTGCAGGGAAAGCCCAGTTTAGTTTCTGTTTAGAAAAGGAAGAAGCAGATATTTGAAACTCTCACTGCGAAGTTGTTCTCTTCAATAAGTTTATTCAAGAAGCTTCTTCAATGGCAACTAGATAGAGATACAGGATCACGGTTTTCAGGCTAAGGTTTAGGCAACGAGCTTCGTTAGACTTTGCTTATCGTTAGAAATACACGTTCTTCAGTACACGCGCGTAATAACAGATGCTGGTATACATTACTGTTCTTCTGGAGTTGCAGGTACAAACCATTAACAAAGATCCAACTGATAGTGAGCGCTGACTGGCAGTTCCGAGCATTAACCGGTCGTTCCCCGCAAGTCCTAGCTGCACACTTTTCCTCCTCAATCCCGCCACCAGTTACTTCCCATACTACCGAACACCAACCTCCCATCTGGTAACAACTGGAAATAATGCTCCTCCCGAGGTGTACAGAAGCATGACGGTTAAAACCTACCAACCGGAGAGGAGCCCACACATATTGCCTTCGTACCATCATGAAACAGTCGTATAAATCTGCGATTTAATTGTTGATTTTTCTGTGCCGTAACAACGCTCCGCCATGTCGTTAAGACGAGTTACAAAATCGTGATTGATTCAGTCGGTTCTTGCTTTGCTGAGAATAATTTTGTTCTCCATTCTGCTTTCGAATTTGATCCCTCTATTGTTCGTACCAATTTTTCACAACAACTTTCAAAATCCAGCCTCTGCATTCTGTCGAAATTCAATGTGTCGACTTTTGATTGACATGTTTGATCCAAATAGGTAATTAATACATCCAATCTCTTGTTTTTCTGGGATTTTCGATGCAGTCCGCAAAATGTTGAAAATTCTTTAGCCATCGTTTTAAAGTTTCCCCCGTGACGAAAGATGTCGGGTTTTCTTAGCGGTATATCTGATTTTCTATTTCCGTCCCATTTCTCCAGAAGCTCCAATTTTCCAGTTTTCTGTCCGTCAAGATAGGCTTTATCCATTTCCTGTTCTTTAAGCTGAGTTCGTTTGTCCAATTCATGTTGCATTCTCTATATTCATTATCTAGCTTCTGATTAGTCTCGAGCATATTATTATTTCGGTCCGATAAATCGTCTGCATATTTCTTCAAATCTTCGTTCTTCTTTGCAGTGTCTTTGACTGTATTTTTAAGTTTGTCGGCATATGTCTTCAGATCCTCATTTTTATCATTTATTTCATGTAGCTGCTTCTTCAAATTGTCTATTTCCTTCTTTGCATTGTCCAGTTCAGCCATTTTATTGAACTTGATGTTTCAATGATTGAAGTTTGATGTTTCAGTAATTGAAGCTTGATATGAAGAGATCGTCAATTCGAACCAGGAGGGCACCAGTTTTGGCTACTGCCGTTGTGGTTTATTTATATTTTATATTTTAGATTTTAGAGCTTTTAATCAGTCTCAATTTATGGTTACTTGAACACAATGATAGAGTCGTATAATAAGCCTTCAAATATAATAATACTTCCATTAATTCATTAAATAGATACCTTCGGAGATAAGGTTCATATATTGAGAGTCTTTTTATAATTCCGATTCGAATTGAACTTGTAGCTTATTTGAGAGCTACGTTTGAATTGTAACTTGTTGCTATCGCAACAAAAATTCAGATATAGTCGGGCAGTGTTGTTACCGTTAGCGCTCGAAACACGGCTTCTAATCGCCGATGCGGGCCTCTTTAATGCTCAATTAAAAACTAATCAACACGGAAACTATTCCCCTTACATTTGAAGGCCCCGAATTTTTTGAAATTTTTTCCCCGGACTAATGACCAACACCCGGTTTTCATTTGGTAGACCCGTTATCGGTGTTTTTTTTTTAAAAATTTTCACTGGACTAATGACCAAAGTCACTGTAGTGTCCCTTTCAAAGGGTTTTTTAGGGGTTAATTCAATTAATGTTTAAAACCCGTAAAATAAATTTGACTTAAAAGGTATACAAAACTTTGATTCTCAAGGAAAGGGTTTTGACAAATTCCCCAAATAAGGGAACTTTAGAAAAGAACCACTATAATTAAAGATCTTGTTGGTCCGAGGGGCCCAACAGGTTGATGGATTGGGCACAGCTTTATCCACTTCAACAGGAATGTTCATTGCTAAACTGGGTAAGCTTTACCTGGAACAGGGATACTCCGATAAAGCCTGTCTATATTGACCAATATTAATAGAGCTATTCAAATGTTCGACATTTCGTTAAAGTGCTTGTCGCCTGTCATTGTCAACGCAATCATGAACTGTTTCTTGAAGTAGAACGCCTTTATCGATTTACCCAAGAAATGTTACAAAAACAATTATGACTTTATTTGTCACCTTGACGCAAAGTAATTTTTGTGAAGCTTCTGTGGAATTTTGTATTGTTGATGTTTTTTTATCAATCTTTTATTTATTCCTGATGACATGCAGAGGGTTTGGCCAGAAAACTGATCATTATGAATTGTTCACATTTTACGTCCTATTTTCACATTCTATGACTTATTTTTGAGCCAGTTTTCCCTGGCCCCAGGCCCCTTCTGTAACAATCCAACCATTGACACAGTAAATTTTAGAGGTAGCTTGTAAAAAAGAAGTGAATAATTGCTTTCAGGAATTATAGTATTAGAATTATCAACCGTATCAGGAGTTTAATTTCATTTTAAAATCTAACCTGTAATATTTTAATAGCAAGGGCAGACCCCTGTCATGTTTATCAAGCAGGTAATCACATTTTCACATTTACATCACGATATTCCGTCAGTTATCTCCTGAATTTAATTTTTTTGCCTAATAATTTGCTCAATATGCCTAATATTTAATTTGCCTTAAAACTTGTTAAAATTGTTAAAAATCACTAATTCTAGGTGGTGATCTGTGGGTTTCGGAGCTAGCAGGAATGAAGTGGTCGTGGAACCATTCCATCCTCACCATAACTGTGTTGTGGGAAGGAACGGATCTGGAAAATCTAACTTCTTCTTGGGTAAGATTTGGCTTTTATTTACCATTTTTCACAATTCTATCACAGTTCAGCTAATCTGCAAGATCCTTTTAAAAAGGGCATTATTTCAAAGTAATATTTTATAAACCTGATTGTCTTCAGCGATCCGTTTTGTGCGAGTGATGAGTTCATACATGAGACCAGAACAACGACAGCAACCCCATGAGGGTAGCGGACCACTTTTGTAACGCGTTGTGGAGATAACGTTTGTAACCTGAAACAGTACCAATAAAAAAGGAGGGGTCCTATTAGACAGAAAATTTGGGTTTTTAAGAAGGATCAGTATTCCTCGATAAGAAGAATGTCACGTGGTCTTTTTGTTTTTTTTTTATGTGTTAACCCGTTTTGTTTTTTTTATGATTTTTTTTTTCCAGAGTTTTTGAAAAGATTTTATTTTTTCGAAAATGAAGAATTTTTACTGAGCTGGCTATTTATTTTGTATTAAAAAGCGATTTTTCTAGGAAGACAGATGTGATAAATCGTTTAATCTCTATTTCCCCAAAGTAACCCCCCTACTACATCGTGAAAAAAGGCCGAATAAACCAGATGGCTGTTGCACCGGACAGTCAGCGATTGAAGTTCCCCTGAGGAAAGCTGGTAAAGGGGTTTTTGAGGGAAGGGGAATTTTGGGTATTTTGAAGGTGCGAAAAAATACTTTCTTAGCATCTTAGATATGTTCTTGTTCCATTCTTTATCTTTTCTCTTAAACTTTTCTTTTTTTGTCAAAATAGTGACTTGGTTTGAAAAACGGGAAAACTTTTAGAACTCGATATATTTTAAATTATTAAGTTGGTGTTTTCCCCCAATAACTAACATTTTTTTCCCAGGACCAAAAGGGAAAATTTGAAAGATAGACGATTTCTAGACATTGAGGAAGACTAAAAATCTCGAGGAAAAAAAGAAGAGCTGAAGGAGTAAAAAAAAATGGGTCGAATGCACAGGTAGAAAGAACAGTAAACGGGAGAAATGAACAATTACGGGTAGGAATAAAAAAGACTGGTAAAAAAACTGAACCATGTAGGAATGAACAATGTACTTGTTAGGAATAAACACAATATGTAGAATGAACATTTTTTTTAATTAAAATTTAGTTTCAGTCGACCGACGCGATTACGCTATGATTACACGTATCAAAATTTCCCGGGTCACTTGAGTACACCATGTACAAAAGGGAATTTAAGAGGGTTCGGGAAAAGTTGGAGTCGCTAATCACCCGGGGCTCGAGGAGGGAAGGACGAAAGACTTTAAACAATCCCCCTTTTCTACCACTCCCAAACGAGATTAAACCCCTAGAAAGGGATCTAAAGGAGTTTGAGTTTAAGGGATCTAACACCGCAAATTGCGTGATCATATTTTAACTAACCCAAGATTTTTTTTTATTTTGTTTAAATTTTTTAAGGGGATCAAAATTGTTTTAATTATTTTTTTGTATTTTTCAGACTGCGTTACTCGAAGTGGCGGATTTTTTTGCTGATGAACGCAATTTAAAAATCAGAAAAGGACCCAAGCGAACTCGATCTAAGGATCGATGAATATTAATGAGATTTACCCCCCAAGGGAGGTCCACAGTCGTCCATTATTTGGAACAGTTTTTTGGAGATTAGTAGAACCAGAGTCATTGGTATGATTGGAATTGAGCAGACTTTACATTTGTTGCATCAGCTGTTTGCCCAGTTAATGTTCGAGATGAGTTATAACGCTATAACGAATCTATAGCATATATGCTCAAAATGTATTGGGCTACGTATAATGAAGCCCAATAAATTTTGAGCATATATGCTATAGATTCGTTATAGCGTTTAGTAATTTGGTTTTTCGTCTAGAAAAGGTGGGTCATAAAAACGACCCTATCGTCCCTAATGCTCTAATGAGTTAAATGTTTTAAGTTATGTTTTAAGTTGACACCCATTACCCATTTAACCGACACTTCTCTTTTCAGGGTACCTCAGCGGAGGAGCTAGCCCAGGTCGAAGAGCAGAATCAAGACAGCTCAGAAGCACTCAACCAAGTAGTTCCCCAGTTCCACGAACAGAAGAATCTAGAAGAATCCTGCAACTCTCAGCTGAGGATCAACGAGCCAGAGAAGGACAGAGCTTTACGCCAAGAAGGGTGGGTTTTCTTTAACACCCTACGCGCGTGGGGTGGAACCTCTGGGGTGGACTTTATTCAGCGCGTATTTTGTAGGCCTGTTCAACTTGACGATTTGATCCGTTACTATCTCAATTTCACAGATACACAGAATGTGAGGTGATCATCTTAAAGAGAAACGTCTCCAGCTTTCAACCTGGTGTAAAGTTTATCTTGTACTCAAAAATATAGCTCGCTCAGTGTGCAATAGAAGTTGACAATACAATAACCAGTTGCGCCCCGGTCGTCGGTCCCGGAGTTTTTGGCAAAAATTTGGGCCCCTAAAAAAAAATTCTATGACAAGTTACCATCAAAAAGTCTGGAGTAAATTTGGTAAAAATTTGAAGGGTCTACTGTAAATTTCAAAATTATGAAAACAAACAGCTTAATCAGAATTTTTGGGGAAAATTTCAAATTTTGACGGGGGGTCTACGGGGGTGGCCCCTTGCGGGGGCGCAATTGACGGGTGGCTTTTTCAACAGCCGTCATAGGCCAATACAAGACAAATTATTGTGAAAACCCTTAATGAATATCCCCCCTCACTAGGTATAACCGTTCTAAAAAAAAAGGGAAAGTTTTCCGTCAAACCAAATTTTTTACTCTTTCTTGCAGTTGGGTTTACTATGAATTATAGCTAAGTACTTTGGGATCGTAGCGCATTACACGTAGAAAGTAACCAGGAAGACTGCTGAAAACAAAAGCAAATTTCAACGTGAACATTTTTCCAAAATACTAATCATGGCGACGATATTTCAACTTGAACCTTATATTTTTTTACAGTTAAAATCACAATAAAACCCGGGAAACTGCAAATCCAAAAAAAAATCCTAAAAATTGATAGTCCCGTTACATAGCTTTCGTGCAACCTCAACGCTTAAAAAATAAATATTATCCAGTCTTGTGACCACCGAGGCCCCTTTCTTCCCTTGTCCGCGGGGACATCGTTGCGAGGGGGGGTTTTTCGTTTTTGTTCTTCCCCCCCGGGCTTCGAAAATCGAATTGGCGGGAAGCAAATTATCAAAAGCCCTTTGTGATCTGGGGGCGTAGAAAATTTTGGGGGATGTCGGAGTTAAGCTTCCTAAAAAGATGAGACTTTCACCGGTCTGTTGAAAATATCAAATGCCTTGTAGCAAGATTTAATTATTTTGGGTTTTTAACTAAGAAGGCGATTTGTATTCATTGATAGTAAAAGATATAAGCATAATGAAATTTATATACCCTTTTAGGTACCCTCGAGGCTCGATACTGTATTCATAATCACACCAAAAACTATTATTAAATTTTTTAACTAAACAATTAATTATTACCGTCCTAAAAGGGGTTTTCCCTGAGAATTTGAAGTCTCTGTAGGTTGCTGGCATGTCTACTAAGCTCTTCGATTGAGGAGGTTTTTGGCCCCCTCGGCGGTCCAAATGTTTTATAATGCTGTGGGGCATTTTCAACATCTATCGGAGGTAAACGCCTCGCAGCATAACCTGTAGAGAATGAACATGTCATCAATGTGAAGTTCAATGATAAAATCAGAGTGGCCGATTTCAACGGGCAGAATTCTAATATCATGGCCATGGGGAATGACTATTTTTTGTCGATTTTGCAAACCAAACTGCAAACGATTGTTGATTTTCGTCACTAGTCTAAATGAATGCAAACGTTTCGGCCGAACATTTACATGATTAGAAACTTACCGGTTTCTTTTCGTTATTATGTACAGACATGGCCGGGCTTGGGTTTCCGCATACGATTATCTTCTATCAGATTAAAGTTGAACCCACACTTTTGTACTGCTCGTGGGAGGAGGAAAGCAAACGGAGAACCGTTTCCATGAGCATCTCGCTGTAGTACCATCATCATGTCGATTCTGATATCAGCTGGCAAAATTCGTCTATTACTAAATGCTAGCTTTTCGAACTTCGTATCTTGGAAATAGACAACTTCTATGAAAGAACACACACACACACACACACACACACACACACACACACACACACACACACACACACACACACACACACACACACACACACACACACACACACAGACAGATACACACACCCACAAACACTTACAGACATAGACACACACACACAGAGACACAGACATACAGGCATACAGGCATAAACACAGACACAGACGGACACACAGACAGACACACAGACAGACACAGTTACACACAGACAAGGGACACACAGACACACACCCACAAACACATACAGACATAGACACACAGACACAGGCATAAACACAGACACACACAGACACAGACGGACACACAGGACAGACACAGTACACACAGACACACACAGACACACCACACATAAACACACATAGTTCACTTCAGTGCACTACATTACAATTACAGACACACGCAGTACAATCGAGAACACACACATGAACCAAAGACAGACACAGACACAAACACACAGAGTACACTTCAGTACAATCACAGACGCAGGCACAAAGACATATACAAGAAGAGCAGATTGAAGTACCTTCATTTGCAGATGTTGACGCATTGATCTGCGGGATATGTTCTTCAGTCTGTAACTGATCATCTGCTAGAACTGTCTCATCTGGATCAACCGGAGGAGTATCTTCCGGCAGGAGTCTGAGTGGGTCTATCGGGACAGCCATGGATCGCTCTCCCTACCTTGTTGAATTAAAGACAAAGGTCAACGACGATGTCGCATGTTAGTCCTGTAACTAAATGTAATCCAAAATAGTGAATAAATAATTTTTACATCTGACGATTGTATGTCTGAATGGTGATTTTTAATCAATGAACAAAAGTTCAGGATTTTTACCTTCTGTTAAGCTGTTAGCAATGACTCTAGCACCCTCTCCCTACAAAACGACCATATCTCGGTCTGAAGCTTTAAACCGTCTTGCCTCAGCAGCCATCTAGCACAGTCGACCTGTCCTGTTAATTGTGTGATCATCAAGTTACCAAATTAATCCTTCAATATTCAAATAATTGATTATTAGACCAAAACAGAGTTTAGAGCCTCGACGTATGCTTCAGGGTTTCACACTGTGCTGTAATCAAACGCATGACTAAAACCTCTTGCTACTATTACCAATAAACCCATATTGTTAAGGCGGTCCGAATGATTTACCTGAGTTGATCGCGTCCATGAAAGGGTTAAACTGCGTTCTGTCCAGCTTGGTAATGTCCCGTTCCAGCAGCCAGCAGTGCCTCCGCCTCCGTCACTCTCCCTGCTTTGCATGCCAGTGAAGCGTAGAGCTCCCCTCTAAGCCTTTTGAACGATCCGACGAAGGATCCAGATTCCCTTCTTTTCTTTTGAGATTGCTTCAATTCTTCTGGAGTATGCGGATTACCATTATATACTTCCATACAGGGCGCGTGAACAATCAGCAATGAATTATCAATTAATCAATCTAGTTTTTGAGTAGAAAGTCCACAGATTGTGATACATTGGATTTGATATTGGAAAAGACATAGCTTACCAAATACCTTTTCATGGGCTTTTTGGAGGACAGGGATGACTTATTCCTGCGTGCCATTACACCCTAACTATCTGCTGTAACAGCAAAAATTAGAATTATGTCGGACATAATTCTAAAAATTGGAACATCGTAGTTAATCAGTGTGGTGCTAACAACAGAGAGCGATTTGAACGGTAGGCAATTTCATAAATTCCATTAACGCGATATAAGGATGATTGGAACAGGCTAAAATCTACTATGTAGTATTGATAACTGGCTATATCGCTGCATTAAACGATAAAAGTATTGCTAACTATGGATATTCTAAGTGATCTAGGCAGAGGGGAACCGGCACAGCCAGATTGCGTTGTCTTCAGTGACTAAGTTTCACGATAGTAAAATTGACCTTATTTATTTTTAAAAAGGATGCACAGTTCAAGCAATAAATCGATCAGCTGCTCATATGATATTTGCATTTAAAGGAGGGCCCAGTGCAGTGACAAGTAAGTCTGTTAAGGCAACATTTAGTTCTGAGATTAGCTGAGTCTTGACAAAGATAAGTTGAGTTTCGAGAAAGTGCACACGGATAAAGTTATCAAGTGAAAATGATAAGACTAAGTTAGGGTCCAGTCAACAGAATGGCAGCTGTAACAGAAACAGTTCATTGGATAGGGGAGTAGGGATTATGACGGAGTGAAGTTTATATAGCAGGGCAAACAAAAAACAAACTGACAGCACTGAGCAAGTGAACTGGAAAATTGAGGAAGGGAAATAACTGTGGTTGTCAGCCCTTTCCGTAGCAATCAGGATTTCCCACGAGATCGATCAGGCAATCAGGATTTCCCACGAGACTGCTCCATCCGATGCGCGCACTTTTGTCACGTGACGGCCACGTGACGCTCAAATCGTTGTCACGTGGTACAGAAGGGAGTTTCCTAGAGCGTTGATCTCGACAAGAGGGAGTTTCTCACGGTTTATCGTCAATAACTATCGCTATTTTTATAGTAGAGAGTTGAAACTTTCACCAAATGTTTCCCTAGACATTTCTGCATGGTAACTGTGTCATAGAATTTTAATTTAGGGACCCAATTTTGTGCAACACTCCGGTACCTGACGACCGGTCGCAGACGTGGTTATTGTATTGTCAACTTCTATTGCACACTGAGCGAGCTATATTTTGAGTACAAAGATAAACTTTACACCAGGTGAAAGCTGAGACGTTTCTCTTTAAGATGATCACCTCACATTCTGTGTATCTGTGACATTGAGATAGTAACGAATCAAAACGTCAAGTTGAACAGGCTACAAAATACGCGCTGAATAAAAGTCCACCCCAGGAGTCCACCCCACGCGCGTAGGGTGTTTAAAGTCTTGTGTTCAATGATTATTTTGTTTGGTTGTTTATTTTCAACGTAAATTTAAAAGAGAAAAGTAGCTTGGAACAATAGACCCAGCTCAGGTAGGAAAAAATATTGTTTTAGAGCTTATTTTTATTATTTTTTGGTGAACAGGAAGAAATCTGGAATTCACGGATCAAAAAAAGAGAGATGAGTGGATAAGTAGTGAGCTGAAAACGTACGGATCAAATCTCTCTGACAAGGAGGAGCAAACCAAAACTGTTGAAAAGGAGGTTACAGACACTAAAGAAAAGATAGAGAAGATAACAGAGGATATAAAGGAACGAAGTGAGAATCTTGAGGAAAGAAAGAAGGAAATAGAAGAGACTAACAAGGTTCATTTTACGCTGAATTAGTTTCAGATATACCAAATCTTATAGCACTTACGATTCATTGTTATTTATAACATAGGTCCCTGAGGCCTGATGTGGCACCTTGTAGAAGATATTATGAAATCGAAAATTTCTAGTAGACCAAATGAGTTGGGTAGTTAGCAACTTTCCAATATCTCTAAAACTTACAAACATTTCTCCAGGAGCTGGGAGAAGCGAAGATTAAAAGAGACGAGGTTCAAAACAAACGAAAGGACCTGTGGAGACAGGACAGTAACTTTGAGCAGAGTCTCAATACCAGCAAGGAACAGCTGGACGAGGCAGAACGTCAACTCCGCTCCACAGTCAGCAAGGTCAGTCAATTTAATAAGAATCTGGTACAATTTTTGTTAATTTAACTTTTTTAGGTACAAATACAATGTGTAGACAAATAAATAGTAAATGTGTATTGTGTAAAGGTGTAAACACATTTAAAATCTTTAAATAAATCATGCGTGATTCTGTGATAATAGGTTTAAAAACAGAACAGTATGAGACCCATACTCATACTCTATTTGAATTTTTGTAAATTAGGTATTCTTCGTAGATTACCAGTATCCGATCCTTATCGGAAAATACATGACGTATAAATAATAATAAATAAATTCTAACATTTATTACACGCTTTCTATAGAATGATAATAGTGATATCGCTTATTTATATTATCACCTATTTATTTCATCTATGTTCCACCTACTACCAAACAATTTTGTCATCCGGTTTTCTGTTTTGCTTTTCATCCGTTTCCCTGGTTTATTATTGGAAATGATAACCTCCGGGCAGTACACAACCTTCTTATCCGCCGCTTTCAATCTGATAAACAAATCCTTGTGTTCTAGATCTGATAGATCGTTGCTCCACCCACCTACCTCCACTATATCACGTGTTCTGACCAGGAAATATTTTGAGGTTAGTTCACATCTGACACAGGTCGGAAAATTTAGGGTTGTTTCGTTCACTTCTTCACAAGTTTCGGGAGATACAAATAATCTTCTTGTTTTTCTTTCATTCCTTGTGAGATACCCAAAGTTGATGAAGCCTGTATCTGCTTTGTATAAAGAGTCAGCTACTCCCACCAGACTTGCATCTGTTGTGTCTAAAATCTCCGCAAGCAATTCTAAATTTGTCTTCTCGGTGAACATGTTGTCATCGTCCAATAATAGGAGATATTTTGTGTTGACGTGTTTTAATGCTGAGTTTTTACCCTGAGCCATCCCAATTTCTTCCTCCTCCCCAATGATATACTTCAGATTAGGACAACTCAAAATCTCCTCCATGATTTCGTCAGATAATTCCCCAACACCACCATCATACGCGATGACTGACAGATTCTGGTACTTTTCAAACTTTCTGATTGACTGAATCATCCTCAGTACCAACTCAGGCCTACGAGCAGTATTGATGACAACAGTTACACACTGAGATACATCATGACACCTTTCTACTTTCTCCGTCGGGAGGAGGGCCACAGGGACAGCTACCTTGTTGATCCCACAAGCAGGGAAATCACAGTTAGTTTCTGCTTTAGGAAAAGGAAGAAGCAGATATTTGACACTCTCCTGGAAGTAGTTCTCTTCAATAAGATTTATTCTAGAAGCTTCTTCATGGCAACTAGAGAGAGATACAGGATCACGGTTTTCAGGGCTAAGGTTAGGCACCAGTCCTTCGTTAGACTTGCTTATCGGTGAAATACATCGTTCTTCATTACCCTGCGTATACAGATGCTGGTATACCTTACTGTTCTTCTGGAGTTGCAGGTACGAACCATTAACAAGATCCAACCTGATAGTGATCGCTGAGCTGCAGTCTCCGAGCATTAACCTGGTCTTCCCCATTCCTAGCTGCACACATTTCCCCTCAATCCCGCCACCGTTACTCCCCATACTACCGAACACCAACCTCCCATCTGGTAACAACTGGAAATACTGCTCCTCCCGAGGGTTACAGAACATGACGTGTAACCTACCATCCGGAGAGGAGCCCACACATTTGCCTTCGTACCACAGCTGTATCCGGTGGGATAACACCGGGGTGCTGGCCAGAAAGAGGTGAAACTTTTTGTAATCCTCAAATTGTAGTCTGGTGTGTGCAAAGAAGAGAACTAAAGTGACGAGTAGAGCTAGTCCGAGAAACAGCCGTTTTCTTTCCGGTAAGGTGGCTGTCAGCTGTGTTACCATTGTGTTACATAACTTGAGCTGAAAAATTGTGACACTTATCAGTTTTTATGAGAGTATAATGCATCTTCAGTCTGAAGTAAATGCGCGTATATCTTTACATGTGTTAAAACTGAAACATACTACATAATATAGTTAAAACTTAAAATACGTAATCACAAAATACACCCCGACACAAATAGGCATGATAAATGGGTTATGTGTAGCAATTAACATCCTCACAAGTACAAGTGGATAGAGTTGCCACAACTTTCCATGTTGTTACAATTCTTAGTGGTTTGTATTTTAACATGTATAATGTAAACAAACAAACCCCGATTTACCGCGGATGTTTCCTTTCCCCCAAACTCCGTGGTAAATCGGGGTTTTATTGTAGTAAGGTTCTGTTCAGCACAAGAAAGAGGTGATGCACATTTTGTATCATGTAACGCTTGTAACGCTTGTAACTCCTGCTATCCCCTCTGGAGGTTTAGATTTATTTTCTGAACGAAAGTCGAAAGCATAGAAATAACCGAGAAATTGTCCTTGTTATTAACTCATTTTGATGTCTTTTCCTGACCTAAAATTGCACGGGAAATCGATTTAACTTAACTAGGTCTCAGAACCCACAAACACTTCCTTATCCCTCAAAATTGATGTTTTAAAGTTAATACGAGCAACAAGCAACTTATATTTTGATCTTTCGACTCAACTCATGACCTAGGGGGCTAAGCTGAAACCGAAAGATTAAGGCAATCGTCACCTTAACTGATCAAACAGGTATTAACACAATTTTCAGAGAGAAATGTTTGTTGCAACTTTGCAACTTGAGTGAAGAGCAGAGTACGAAAACACACGGCAGGTAAGCAACTCATTTTGGTGACTGTTCCTCACCTAACAATTAAATTTTCGTCAATTAAATAGCATCACCGACACTTCACAGTCAGTTGAAGGAGCGACCTCAACACTGTCAAAAATAGGACGTAAAACTGTCCATCGGTGCAAAATGTGAACGACTAAAAGTAAAGAAGTTTGATATGAGTGTATGATTCCTCGCCGCCTCGGATCGAAATCCCTCGCTCAACAGATTGAAATTGAGTCACTTTATATTCACATTGTTATCGTAACCACAGCTTGGCTCGGCAATTTCAAGGTACTATCTGCATCATAAACACGCGTACGCCATGATTACGTCATAAACTATAAATAATGTGAACGTTTAGTTCTGTGTTAACGTACAATACGAACTGTGGGGGGGGGGGGGTTTAAAATTGCAACCGATCTTGTTAGTACCTGTTCGATCAGTTAAAGTGACGATTGCCTTAATCTTTCGTTTTCAGCTTAGCCCCCTATGTCATGAGTTGAGCCGAAAGATCAAAATATATGTTGCTTGTCGCTCGTATTAACTGTAAAACATCAATTTTGAGGGATAAGGAAGTGTTTGTGGGTTCTGAGACCTAGTTTAATCGATTTCCCGTGCAATTTTAGGTTAGAAACAGTCCAGTCATCAAAATGAGTTTAATAACAAGGTCGATTTCTCGGTTATTTCTAAGCTTTCGTCCAGAAAATAAATCTAAACCTCTAAAGGAGGTTTAGGGTAGCAAGAGTTACATGCGTTACAAGCGTTACAAGCGTTCCATGATACAAAATGTGCATCACCTCTTTCTTGTGCTGAACAGAACCCTGTTAAAGTAAACAAATGTACCTCACATCCCCACGAGAATCCACATCTATTAATCAAGTGGAAGGTAAAAAGAACCTAAAGATTATGCGAAAATGTAAGGTAACAACAAACGTTAGTAACATTAATCATGGAATTATACTAATATATACTGTTGTGTAAATTCGAACCTCATGGAGATACAGTCATACGTGTATCTTGGGTAGCTGTAGGTGACATACATTTTAAACGTTCATTATTTACTCAACTTTCAAATGAGCGTATTTCCGTCTTCCACAGTCCATATATCTGGATTGTGGTGGGGAGGTGAAACATGTTTTTCCTGACACGTGAACAAATTATCATCCAGCATTGATAAAATCCCAGAATCAATGTTCCACCAGAATCCACATCTATCAGTGCTTCACCTCTGTTCAATTCCCTGTTTTACTTTGTCTACTTCTTCAGGCATTTAACAACGGTATAGATGCCATCAAGAAGATTGTACGTGAGAAGAACATCAGTGGCGTGTATGGACCCCTTATAGAGAACTTCAAATGTAACGAGAAGTTCTTCACCGCTGTTGAAGTCACCGCTGGAAACAGGTAACTTAATTGATTAATTACCTAATTGCTAACAATACTACTCCAATATCATCCAGGGATTATTTTGTATCGTCTACTTGAATAACCAATTATATCGTGAACAATTTGTGCTTATTTTAACTATTAATCGTGAATGAATAGTTTGATGTTTCGTCGCCTTCAAAAGTCTCATCGTCACAACATTACTATTTTTATACTGTTACTTATTCAATACAAAATGCACACAAGTAGTTATTATACATAATACATGTATGTATTATGTATTGTACTAAATCATGATATGCAATGATTCGGTCTTTGTTTCATTTCCTGAAAGCATATAATCATCGTCACTTCATATTATCTCTATCTTATGTTCCGTCACCTCTATTCACTTGGTTAGTATCAATTTACACCCAACCAATACGTCAATCTACAATTTACAATTTACAATAGTGCATGTGATCACAGTGCACATTTAATAGCTGATTGCCCGTCTTTTACAAATGTTCATCAATGACCACTTAGTTACCAAAAACCACAGAAAGCCACCAACACTAGAGTCTAGAAGTGTATAAATCACAGTACAATACTATACGAGATAATGTATCACCTCCCTGTCATTAGCAACATAATCTCAAATATAACTCAAACTAACAGCCCCCACCTTAACAGGCTATTCTACATCATAGTAGACACTGACAAGACAGCATCACAAATACTGAGCATAATGAACAAGAACAAAATGAACGGTGAAGTTAACTTTCTGCCTCTTAACAGACTCACCTTCAAGGAAGTCCAGTATCCCACATCCAACGTAGGTTTTGTTCAGAATTTATCAAACTAATTGGGGTAATTTACTAATTAGTTACTGTAATTAGCGAATTAGATATTGAATTATAATCAGACTATTCACACATTCCATCTGATCACCAGGACGTTATCCCGATGGTAAGCAAGTTGGAGTACAACCAGATCTTCAAACCAGCCATGGAAACAATATTCGGCAAAACTCTCATCTGTCGGAGTCTGGAGATTGCGTCCCAGTACGCGCGTAACGAGCACATGGATTGCATCACCCTTGACGGTGACCAAGTGTCTCGCCGTGGTGCGCTAACTGGGGGGTACTACGACAAGCGTAAGTCTCGTCTGGACTCACAGCGCCAGGTATGGTACTGGCAGGCCAAGTTGGCGGAGGAGGAGACAAACGCTGGCAAGATAAAGGGCGACATGGAAGAAGTGGACTCCGAGCTCTCAAAGCTGGTTGGTGTAACTTTGTTTAGGCTATTAATGCACCAATTAATAATAATATTAAGTAATTATAATTGATTATAATTATCCCAATTATGATCTTTTTGCAATTATCGCGAAGTGTTAGTAAGTTTTCTGTTCTGATAGTATAAATAAAATATAATAACAATTTCTACTATAAAGGTAAGTGCAGTGCAGAAGTTAGAAACAAAGCAGATTCAGCTAAGGGAAACTTATGAGAGACAGAAAATGGATGTTCAGAACCTCAATGTGGAGAAGAAACAGCTTGAAAAGCATCTTGACACCAAGGTAAATTTAGAAGAGAAGTAGTTTTTACTTTTACCTCCTCTTTTTACTTTATAAAATCTTGTGCTGTCTGATTCTTATTTTTCAACGTTTTGCTGGACAGTTTGCAGTATTTTGAAATTGACCCCGAATCTTGTGCAGACCAGATTAAAATTGGCGCTAGATGGAGATCTAACTGCACTGAGAGGCACCGTGGCCTCACTCCAGCAGGAACTGGGAACCGAGCTTCTTTCTCAGCTCACTGAGACTGAACAGGTTTGTACGATCACGTGTCATGATTAATGGTGTGACGTCACGTGTTAATGTGTGATGTAAAGTCTCTTTGAATCTGCTCAACTCCAATTACTTTCTGTCTGTATTATCCACCAGGCGATTTGGAAGGAAATCATATTCCAAATATGATTTATTATCTCTATTTATTCCACTAGCCATGATTGGCAGTGTAATTAATTCAGTTACTGCTAATTATTCGAGAATTTCCAAAAGTATTGTTTGAATATGCTCAACTCCAATTACTTCCTGTCTGTATTATCCACCAGTACAGGTGATTTGGAAGGAAATCATATTCTAAATCTGATTTATTATCTCTATTCATTCCACTAGCCATGATTGGCAGTGTAATTAATTTAATTACTGCTAAGTATTCGCGGTAATTGTACAATTTGTGTATTTCAGGAAGAAGTTAAGAAACTGAATAAGGAAATCGCCTCTCTTCAGTCTCAAATTAGAGATTCTCTCGAACGAAGGAGTAAATTAGAAGTATGTAAAAGAATTCGTTCTGCTATTTTCCGTCATCTCTTCTGTTTCCGCGCCAATGTTAATTAACCAAGGTGTAATTTTGTGTGTATAAATTAGAATGGTCGGAGATAACACCACAGAGACAAAATCCTCGACGTGCTAGATTACTCAGTGGTTATTCATATGCAATCTAGTCTGTGAATTTAATTGACAACACTTTAGGTAGAGAAGAACATGTACGAAAATCTGTTGCACAATAACTTATTCAAAAGAAGAGATCAGCTGTTGAGTAATATTGATGAGTTGGGAATGAGTGAGCGAAAACAGGATTATGATAGTAAAAGAGCAGAGTTCTCTCAAGCGACCGAGGGAATGGAATCCACGAAGAAGCGGTAAGGAGTCGCCAATCTTATCCTATTGTTGAAAAGTTCTGGAATAATGCCAAAATAGAACTTATGAAAACTGATACAGCGCTTGAGAGTTGATGAATCCAGATTTTTGGAACATTTTTGGAACATTTTTGGAACATGTCCCAAAATTGTCCCAAAAGTGTCCCATGCATTTATTTGCCCTAATAAGCTCTAAATAGTGCCAAAAATAATTGTAAATGATGGATATAGTTGCAAGCTAGGTCTAGGGGCCATCGAAAGTAGCATAAAAATACCCAGGTTCATGGAATGAACGAAAATGAACAAAAATGAATATTGTCCTAAAAATGCTCAGAACGGTTTAAAATTGGTCGGAAAGTGTTTATATTAGTCCTAGGACCACTCAAACCAAGTTTGGGAATCACTGCATGTCTAGAACCGATGTTACCAATGTTCCAAAATGTTCCAATTTTGGGACAATAATCCTTCTGAGAATCCAGATTTTTGGAACATGGGCACATCGAAGTATTGGCTGTATTTAAGTGCTGGGAAGCCTCAATTCGGTTTTCTAAGATGGATATAGGTAAAAACTAGGCCTAAGAGCCATCAAAACTCAAATAACATCACCCAGGTTCATGGAATGAACGAAAATGAACAAAAATGAATATTGTCCTAAAAATGCTCAGAACGGTTTAAAATTGGTCGGAAAGTGTTTATATTAGTCCTAGGACCACCCAAACCAAGTTTGGGAATCACTGCATGTCTAGAACCGATGTTACCAATGTTCCAAAATGTTCCAATTTTGGGACAATAATCCTCCTGAGAATCCAGATTTTTGGAACATGGGCACATCGAAGTATTGGCTGTATTTAAGTGCTGGGAAGCCTCAATTCGGTTTTCTAAGATGGATATAGGTGAAAACTAGGCCTAAGAGCCATCAAAACTCAAATAACATCTCCCAGGTTCATGGAATGAACGAAAATGAACAAAAATGAATATTGTCCTAAAAATGCTCAGAACGGTTTAAAATTGGTCGGAAAGTGTTAATATTGGTCCTAGGACCACTCAAACCAAGTTTGAGAATCACTGCATGTCTAGAACCGATGTTACCAATGTTCCAAAATGTTCCAATTTTGGGACAATAATCCTCCTGAGAATCCAGATTTTTGGAACATGGGCACATCGAAGTATTGGCTGTATTTAAGTGCTGCGAAGCCTCAATTCGGTATTATAAGATGGATGCAGGTAAAAACTAGGCCTAAGAGCCATCAAAACTCAAATAACATTACCCAGGTTCATGGAATGAACGAAAATGAACAAAAATGAATATTGTCCTAAAAATGCTCAGAACGGTTTAAAATTGGTCGGAAAGTGTTTATATTAGTCCTAGGACCACCCAAACCAAGTTTGGGAATCACTGCATGTCTAGAACCGATGTTACCAATGTTCCAAAATGTTCCAATTTTGGGACAATAATAGAATAATCCTCCTGAGAATCCAGATTTTTGGAACATGGGCACATCGAAGTATTGGCTGTATTTAAGTGCTGGGAAGCCTCAATTCGGTTTTCTAAGATGGATATAGGTGAAAACTAGGCCTAAGAGCCATCAAAACTAAAATAACATCACCCAGGTTCATGGAATGAACGAAAATGAACAAAAATGAATATTGTCCTAAAAATGCTCAGAACGGTTTAAAATTGGTCGGAAAGTGTTAATATTGGTCCTAGGACCACTCAAACCAAGTTTGAGAATCACTGCATGTCTAGAACCGATGTTACCAATGTTCCAAAATGTTCCAATTTTGGGACAATAATCCTCCTGAGAATCCAGATTTTTGGAACATGGGCACATCGAAGTATTGGCTGTATTTAAGTGCTGCGAAGCCTCAATTCGGTATTATAAGATGGATGCAGGTAAAAACTAGGCCTAAGAGCCATCAAAACTCAAATAACATTACCCAGGTTCATGGAATGAACGAAAATGAACAAAAATGAATATTGTCCTAAAAATGCTCAGAACGGTTTAAAATTGGTCGGAAAGTGTTTATATTAGTCCTAGGACCACCCAAACCAAGTTTGGGAATCACTGCATGTCTAGAACCGATGTTACCAATGTTCCAAAATGTTCCAATTTTGGGACAATAATAGAATAATCCTCCTGAGAATCCAGATTTTTGGAACATGGGCACATCGAAGTATTGGCTGTATTTAAGTGCTGGGAAGCCTCAATTCGGTTTTCTAAGATGGATATAGGTGAAAACTAGGCCTAAGAGCCATCAAAACTAAAATAACATCACCCAGGTTCATGGAATGAACGAAAATGAACAAAAATGAATATTGTCCTAAAAATGCTCAGAACGGTTTAAAATTGGTCGGAAAGTGTTTATATTGGTCCTAGGACCACTCAAACCAAGTTTGAGAATCACTGCATGTCTAGAACCGATGTTACCAATGTTCCAAAATGTTCCAATTTTGGGACAATAATCCTCCTGAAAATCCAGATTTTTGGAACATGGGCACATCGAAGTATTGGCTGTATTTAAGTGCTGGGAAGCCTCAATTCGGTTTTATAAGATGGATGCAGGTAAAAACTAGGCCTAAGAGCCATCAAAACTCAAATAACATTACCCAGGTTCATGGAATGAACGAAAATGAACAAAAATGAATATTGTCCTAAAAATGCTCAGAACGGTTTAAAATTGGTCGGAAAGTTTGGGAATCACTTCATGTCTAGACCCGATGTTACCAATGTTGTCACAATAATCCTCCTGAGCATCCAGATTTTTGGAACATGGGGACATCGAAGTGCTGGGAAGCCTCAATTCGGTTTTCTAAGATGGATATTAAAAAACTAGGCCTAGAGGAGCCATCAAAAGTCGAATAATATTACCCAAGTTTATAGAATGAACAACGAACATGAAAATTTTTCTCAAAGCGCTCAGAATGGTTAAAAAATGGTGGCAAAGAGTCAATATTTTCATCCAACAGGGTCTTAAAGTTGCAATCAGAATTATGTACAATTAGACAGAAATTATTTTATTGGGCAAATATTTTGGTTTTAATAATCCTCCAATATTTTGATATAAATTTTTGACATCACTAGCTGTATTTGAGTGTGCTTTGTATTTTGAAAACAAAGATAACAGTCATTTAGTAAACAGCAAATTAAATTCTACGTTTATTATCTAGTAAAAATATTGTATGTTATAAAATACTGTATATTATAAAATCTGTATATAAAAATAAACTACTCAATTACTCTACAGTAAGACTTCTTTATACAGACCGTTTCAACGGACCAGGTGGAGATGAAAATGGATTTTGTCGTTGTGTCGGGGTTCAGTCTTCGTCTTTTTGTCAATTTTAAACCGTTCTGAGCATTTTTAGGACAATATTCATTTTTGTTCATTTTCGTTCATTCCATGAACCTGGGTAATGTTATTTGAGTTTTGATGGCTCTTAGGCCTAGTTTTTACCTATATCCATCTTAAAAAACCGAATTGAGGCTTCCCAGCACTTAAATACAGCCAATACTTCGATGTGCCCATGTTCCAAAGATCTGGATTCTCAGAAGGATTATTGTCCCAAAATTGGAACATTTTGGAACATTGGTAACATCGGTTCTAGACATGCAGTGATTCCCAAACTTGGTTTGAGTGGTCCTAGGACTAATATAAACACTTTCCGACCAATTTTAAACCGTTCTGAGCATTTTTAGGACAATATTCATTTTTGTTCATTTTCGTTCATTCCATGAACCTGGGTAATGTTATTTGAGTCTTGATGACTCTTAGGCCTAGTTTTTACCTATATCCATCTTAGAAAACCGAATTGAGGCTTCCCAGCACTTAAATACAGCCAATACTTCGATGTGCCCATGTTCCAAATTTATGGATTCATCTACTGGAGTAGATGAATCCATATCCATATGGGCAAATATTTTGGTTTTAATAATCCTCCAATATTTTGATATAAATTTTTGACATCACTAGCTGTATTTGAGTGTGCTTTGTATTTTGAAAACAAAGATAACAGTCATTTAGTAAACAGCAAATTAAATTCTACGTTTATTATCTAGTAAAAATACTGTATGTTATAAAATACTGTATATTATAAAATCTGTATATAAAAATAAACTACTCAATTACTCTACAGTAAGACTTCTTTATACAGACCGTTTCAACGGACCAGGTGGAGATGAAAATGGATTTTGTCGTTGTGTCGGGGTTCAGTCTTCGTCTTTTTGTCAATTTTAAACCGTTCTGAGCATTTTTAGGACAATATTCATTTTTGTTCATTTTCGTTCATTCCATGAACCTGGGTAATGTTATTTGAGTTTTGATGGCTCTTAGGCCTAGTTTTTACCTATATCCATCTTAAAAAACCGAATTGAGGCTTCCCAGCACTTAAATACAGCCAATACTTCGATGTGCCCATGTTCCAAAGATCTGGATTCTCAGAAGGATTATTGTCCCAAAATTGGAACATTTTGGAACATTGGTAACATCGGTTCTAGACATGCAGTGATTCCCAAACTTGGTTTGAGTGGTCCTAGGACTAATATAAACACTTTCCGACCAATTTTAAACCGTTCTGAGCATTTTTAGGACAATATTCATTTTTGTTCATTTTCGTTCATTCCATGAACCTGGGTAATGTTATTTGAGTCTTGATGACTCTTAGGCCTAGTTTTTACCTATATCCATCTTAGAAAACCGAATTGAGGCTTCCCAGCACTTAAATACAGCCAATACTTCGATGTGCCCATGTTCCAAATTTATGGATTCATCTACTGGCGCTTGATGTTTACACGAAGCGGTGTACAAATAATTCCCGCCTATTGCTATTGCTAGTTTGCGCGCGACTTGTATGAATAAAGGACCTTACTGCGAGTAAAATTTGGCGCTACACGCGTTTATAATTTATTGATTTGTAAAATTCTTTAAACACATTTAAAAACAATTCTAATTTTTTGTTCCAACAGATTAGACTGGCTCGAGAATGAAATGGACGTATACACGAAGAAATGCAAAGAATTGGCGACTCAGATTGAACACAAAACAGGAAAAGAGAGGGAGATTCAGGAAAGCATTGAAGAAGAGAGCAAAAACATGGAGAAAATGGCAAACAAACGAGCTGTAAAGTTACGAAAGGTACTCGCCCTGAAAAAATTCACGACTCGTAATTTGCAGAAGTTGACTCATTCCACCACTGTTCTAAACGTTGAATAGTGTATTAAAATACATTTCACTCAGAAAGAGGAAGTGATGAGAAAGATCCGAGAGTTGGGGTCATTACCAGCAGACGCTTTTGAGAAATATCAGAACATGAGTTTGAAGGAGCTGTGGAAGCTCATGAACAAGTGTAACAATGAGCTGAAAAAGGTGTGTTTTATGAAAATTTCTATTTCTAATTGGTGTGTCGAAATGTAGGAACAATGTTGCTGACGCCTGAATGTAAACTCATTTTGGTACATTAGTAAACCACCAACTTTTCAGTACGCTCACGTGAACAAGAAAGCTCTGGATCAGTTTGTAAGTTTCTCGGAACAGAAAGAAAAGCTTATAGAGAGGAAGAAAGAGCTTGATAAGGGATTGGATGCAATCAAGAACTTGATGGACGTTCTAGAGCACAGAAAACACGAAGCCATTCAGCTAACTTTCAAACAGGTACATGTTGTTCCTTAGTCTTCTTATTGAGCGAATAATAATAATCATATTCTTAATTCATTTTTAGATAAACCAAGCATAAAGAAAGATTGTATAAACATTCCTAAGGTAATGTATATAAATAACCGACTGTCATATTTTCAGGTGTCCCACTTTTTCACAGATATCTTCAAGAAGCTAGTCCCTGGCGGTACCGCTACTCTAGTCATGAAACGTTCAGAGTTCGACGAGGAGGGCAGTTCAGTCCCTCTCGTTGAGCAATTCACAGGAGTTGGCATCAAGGTCTCCTTCAGTGGAAAGGTTTCGGAGACAAAGGAAATGCAGCAGTTATCTGGAGGACAGAAGTCTCTGGTTGCTCTGACTCTGATATTCGCTATCCAGAAGTGTGATCCTGCTCCCTTTTACTTGTTTGATGAGATCGATCAGGCGCTGGATCCTCAACATCGTAAAGCTGTCGCAGGTAAAACTTAAACGTCTCGTCACCTCCATTGACTTATGAACTAAAGAGTTCTATTGATTGAACCAGTCATTTCCGATGACATTTCTTACAAATATTTTGCTATAAACCAACTTTAATTTCAGAGTTGATAAGCAAACAGTCGGACACGTGCCAGTTCATTACAACAACATTCCGTCCTGAACTTGTCCAGGTAACTTATTTCCGACAATTCCCAGTCGTTTTACCCAGACGGAAATCGTTCATAGACATAATCAAGAATTTTAAGGAATAACGTTCGCGCATAGTTTTACCGTTGATGACTTTGCTAACCATGTCCTATATCATGACTGCTTACACTTTCCCTTTCCCAGGCAGCAAACAAGCACTACGGAGTGATCTATCGCAGCAAGGTGTCCCACATCCAGCAAGTTACCATGGAGGAAGCTCTGGACTTCATCGAGGATGAAGCACCTGACAAATAAACACCCAACAAACTGATCGAAGTGATTTCGAGTTTATTTTGACGGACCATCTCTAATTGGATTAAAGAAATTGATTAGATAATCGATTGTGCAGGTCACTTAAAATGTGTCAATTAACCCGATTACTATTTAGTTTATGTATGGGGTTACCCTTTTTTGGACCGTGTCCCTTTGCAATTGGCATTTTAATATTTAACGCCGTTTGTTATGTTTCAAACGAATCGGATAGTACTTTGCTTGTCCTGTTAAACTATTTATTCTAAATTTAACCTTTTTAAAATGTTTACTTGTTCGGACCCTTAATAATGAAATTAGATTGTCCAAAAAACACTGCCGCTATTTTCTCCAGAAACGTTTTAGTTATGAAAATATCTTGGAGACCAAGGGATTTCCAATCCTAACACATGTTTATTTTAAACGTGATTTAATGCTTCTACATTGTAGATCTACAAAAATATTGAATTGTGGAATTCTCTAAGTAATTAAGATTTAAAACTGAACGGTCTCCATTTTGATATTCATGTGAAATGGCCGATGACACAATATAATATTGAATGGGTTCATGGTATGAGCCATCCAAATAATACACCAGACTTGTAATCCCATCGTGTTATTTAGCTAAAGTTTTAAACAGAGTTCATGCCCTGTCGAGTTTTGTTGAAGTTGTAATCTATAAACTGCAATCTCGCATTATGTTATCAATCATATTATGTATTGTTACAGTACTTCATTACCACCAAAATACGTGTTTGTTTGCCTAAACCAAGTCTAATTAATAGTGCTGTGAGACCGAGGGATTCTTATGCGTTTATCAGTAGTTACAGTTATGATCATACGTTGCGTGTGGACTGTGGTAAGATCACACATCATGCAGTTGGCCAAGGAAAACTTCAGACTTAAAATGGACTAAAAATGATGGATCTAATCATTGTTTTCAAACATCCATTAATTACCAAACTGTCATATTATATCAATCAGAAAATGAATAATCGTTAAAATAATATTCTACTGATCTAGTACTTTTCCGTCTGATCCCAACCATGTATTAAAATACTAAAATTGACTACTCATTGCATGAGGGGCCTGAATAGTGAACAATGTAGTTTATTACCATAGATTACAGTGTTTAGTGTCACTCAAAATCATCCTTAGATATCATCACTATCAGTTATTGTTTGAACTAGCAGAAAATCGTAAACATTAATAAGCATAGCGGCCAAACTGTTTAATTACTATCCTGTTATCACATCCTGTAAATCACACAGCGTAAATTTGATATTGTAAATGTAATCGTGGAAGCACAATGTAAATGTTGTGCTATGACTTCCATGTTGAGACATACTTTAATAAGACGACTGTCGACCATGGGTCAATTTCCTGAACCAGGTAGACTACAACTAGCATGAAATTACGAAAAGCTGTCAGTTCTAATTCTTAATAAACATTCAATTCAAGTTCAAATAGATAGTTTCTCGGACACGGTAACAGGTAATTATTGTGCTAAGTAAACTGGCAATGCAAGTGTTTCAGTTTAAAGATCTCTATCTTGCGATCAGAATGAACTATACTTGTGAAATGGTCCAATATACCATATTCCTTTTAGTTTTTGTAATGTCCAACTGTTTCCGGATCACTTATCCGATCACACTTCGCCCTCGCCATCCCGTTTAACACTCTGTCTGGTGCTTCTGGTGTAAACAGCGTCCTCTTCGGTCTCAGCTCCCAGTGGCTTGTACCTAGTTACTCCTTCCTTGTCAGTTGCTGACTGTAGAATTTATAATAACATAAACCCGCCACGCAAAGGGTTTATATAACAGATCATCCCGCGCTAGCGGGATGATCTGATAAACACATACGAGTGCGCGCAGCGCACGAGTTTTGTGTTAATATGTAATCCCGAAGCGCCAGCTGAGGGATTACATTTATTTAGCCCTGAGCGTGAAGTGTTTATGGATTATAATTATCTCCGGCGATTTCGACAAGGGATTGGAAAGCAGTTCATCAATCTGAATGTCAAACCGATCTGTCATAGTGGAGCAATAGCTTGAACGTTAGCAGGAACAAAAGCTGGAAGGAGAGCAAGCAAAACAATACTATTTTTAGGGCACGGACAAGGGTAGCTGGCTAGTCGCCAACTTCTCACGCCACGCGTTGGAGAAATTCCAAGAATTAGCTGCTTTGGCAACGTTCCCAGGAATTTGCGTGTAAAAGAAGTGGACGGTTACGATGTTTCATATCACGTGGTGCGCTTTCGTGTCACGTGGTATAGACTCGGCGTATGCTATTGGTGGCACGTGGTACGCACGTGACGCGCCCACGTGATCGTGCGTCTAACTGTTCTACTATTATCGAGTTCTAATCAGCAGTATCATTGATTATTGTAAGTCGGAGAATTGAATGATAAACATCAGTTACGACTAAAAAGCGGGCCGGGTTTATACAAATTTCCGGGGCGGGATGATATCACCTTGAGATGTTTATCTAACAGCGGGCCGGGCTGAGTGATAATATGATCCCGCGTCGAAATCCCGGAGATATTTATAAATGTAAGGTAATTCATAAAATTAGCAATATATACTGAGCTTGTTTTGACAATCGTACTTATTTTTGCGAGTCTCACGCTCGATGTTCGTTAGTACAGTCAGTGTAGTTTAACTTTAAGCTTTTAAGTAAGACTAAGAGTCACAATAACAATTTTGCACTATCAGCTGTAATACTTACAACTGTTGTAATGTCATTGTATGTCTTGAGAGTGCCAGCTGAGGCCATGGACTCGTACAGCTGAATGGTATCGCCCGAGTATTCCATCACGGCATACGTCTGAGATTTTTAAAATCATATTCAAGCTGTTTTGAACATATTTTTACTGTGCTAACATTTAACAACGATATTTCAACTTTATTGCCAAGGATTTCGAATCTAATATATAACCTCAAACCAAGATGTACCAACATCTGTAATCCATTAATAACTTACAACTTAATGAGTGTATATAATTATAACCTACGAGTACAACTACAGAGTCAGGTTTCAGAAAAAAATTTCGCGGTCAGTGACACTCTCAAGAAAACGCCTATTATGAGCTTGAAATATCTAACACAATAACACTCACATCATCAGAATAGGAAACATCCAGGTTAAAATCGTCAAGTTTGTCTTTTCCCTTTGACTTGGAGGCTGAAGTGGTAGGGTTCTCTTCTTCTGCTGGGTCATCTTCTATGTCTTCTGTCCAGTCGTCAAACTATATTATTATTCATTGTAATATGGCAATAAAATTTAAATTTTGTTTTACTTAAATTAAGTTATAAACTATTAATGGCATTTTTCAATCAAAATTCAGTGAGAAAGTTGTGGTTTTTTCTAGTCACGAAGCACTGATAAACGGTGAATTTTCATTATTCATACTTAGAGGCAACTTTTGGTACCAAATTTATCAAAATCAGAGACAACAAATTCTGTGCCAGCTCATTACATGGCGCTTATTACATAGCAGTGGCGTAGGACTGATGAAAAGTTTGAAAATTAGAAATTTTCAGAAAATGTGTTATTGGACTGCCGATCTGGGGAGCAACCTAGGGCCCTCTATATATTCATGCCCATTGTAGGCTGCATCCCCGATCCCCGAGACTTCGTCTTACTTTCGTCTGGTTTCCACTCTCCCTTCATACCAAGTTACTAGCTAGGTAACAAGGTAATCGAGGAGACAGTTTTCAACGTAACAACGATTTCAGCCGGTTCGGACAAATCTTTGTTCTAACCATTTGAACAACAAATCAGTGCACTTTCCATCTGTACGCGTCCTCACACACTGTTCTTAAACCAGAGTTAGCTTTATACCAACATAGTTCACGAAAAATTTACTTGTATGTACTGTTACACCTAATCAACCAGCCAATTTCACGCTATTACAACTCCCTGCAACTCCTCTGCAACTCCGAGAGCTCTTAATTACGCCTTATATGGATGTGTAATTAGCTTTGCAAATATCACGTGCTAGATTAGATGCAGCTCTTAATTACGCCTTATATGGTGCGTAATAATAGCTCAATATCACGCGCTATATATCCAACCAGTAAACGCGCTCAATAGCTATCTCGTGACTGTCACGTGACAGCTATCAAAGGAAATTCTCTATATGGCGCTTCCGGTGGAAACTAGGAAAGAGCTAGTTTGAGCCTTAAATAGGCGGGACACCGGTAATATTTAATAACTTCTGATAAGCAGGTGGCGGTGAAGCTGAACGTCAGCCTGTGTGTGTGCGATTGCTATTCCTGCGATATCAGACACGACCACACTTCACACATTCTGGAGAGCCTCCCTTTATAGGAGGACTCTTATGCAAATAAAGACCTCAGTAAAGAAGTACTACGTGTCCCTGAATTTTGCGGAAATTAATATATTCGCTTGACTATCATGAAACGTTCAGAGTTCGACGAGGAGGGCAGCTCAGTCCCTCTCGTTGAGCAATTCACAGGAGTTGGCATCAAGGTCTCCTTCAGTGGAAAGGTTTCGGAGACAAAGGAAATGCAGCAGTTATCTGGAGGACAGAAGTCTCTGGTTGCTCTGACTCTGATATTCGCTATCCAGAAGTGTGATCCTGCTCCCTTTTACTTGTTTGATGAGATCGATCAGGCGCTGGATCCTCAACATCGTAAAGCTGTCGCAGGTAAAACTTAAACGTCTCGTCACCTCCATTGACTTATGAACTAAAGAGTTCTATTGATTGAACCAGTCATTTCCGATGACATTTCTTACAAATATTTTGCTATAAACCAACTTTAATTTCAGAGTTGATAAGCAAACAGTCGGACACGTGCCAGTTCATTACAACAACATTCCGTCCTGAACTTGTCCAGGTAACTTATTTCCGACAATTCCCAGTCGTTTTACCCAGACGGAAATCGTTCATAGACATAATCAAGAATTTTAAGGAATAACGTTCGCGCATAGTTTTACCGTTGATGACTTTGCTAACCATGTCCTATATCATGACTGCTTACACTTTCCCTTTCCCAGGCAGCAAACAAGCACTACGGAGTGATCTATCGCAGCAAGGTGTCCCACATCCAGCAAGTTACCATGGAGGAAGCTCTGGACTTCATCGAGGATGAAGCACCTGACAAATAAACACCCAACAAACTGATCGAAGTGATTTCGAGTTTATTTTGACGGACCATCTCTAATTGGATTAAATAAATTGATTAGATAATCGATTGTGCAGGTCACTTAAAATGTGTCAATTAACCCGATTACTATTTAGTTTATGTATGGGGTTACCCTTTTTTGGACCGTGTCCCTTTGCAATTGGCATTTTAATATTTAACGCCGTTTGTTATGTTTCAAACGAATCGGATAGTACTTTGCTTGTCCTGTTAAACTATTTATTCTAAATTTAACCTTTTTAAAAGTTTACTTGTTCGGACCCTTAATAATGAAATTAGATTGTCCAAAAAAATACTGCCGCTATTTTCTCCAGAAACGTTTTAGTTATGAAAATATATTGGAGACCAAGGGATTTCCAATCCTAACACATGTTTATTTTAAACGTGATTTAATGCTTCTACATTGTAGATCCACAAAAATATTGAATTGTGGACTTCTCTAAGTAATTTAGATTTAACGGTCTCCATTTTGATATTCATGTGAGAATGGCCGATGACACAATATAATATTGAATGGGTTCATGGTATGAGCCATCCAAATAATATACCAGACTTGTAATCCCATCGTGTTATTTAGCTAACGTTTTAAACACAGTTCATGCCCTGTCGAGTTTTGTTGAAGTTGTAATCTATAAACTGGCATCTCGCATTATGTTATCAATCATATTATGTATTGTTACAGTACTTCATTACCACCAAAATACGTGTTTGTTTGCCTAAACCAAGTCTAATTTATAGTACTGTGAGACCGAGGGATTCTTATGCGTTTATCAGTAGTTACAGTTATGATCATACCTTGCGTGTGGACTGTGGTAAGATCACACATCATGCAGTTTGCCAAGGAAAACTTCAGTCTTAAAATGAACTAAAAATGATGGATCTACTCATTGTTTTCAAACATCCATTAATTACCAAACTGTCATATTATATCAATCAGAAAATGAATAATCGTTAAAATAATACTCTACTGATCTAGTACTTTTCCGTCTGATCCCAACCATGTATTAAAATACTAAAATTGACTACTCATTAAGGGGCCTGAATAGTGGACAATGTAGTTTATTACCATAGATTACAGTGTTTAGTGTCACTCAAAATCATCCTTAGATATCATCCTTGTCAGTTATTGTTTAAACTAGCAGAAAATCGTAAACATTAATAAGCATAGCGGCCAAACTGTTTAATCACTTTCCTGTTATATCTAAATCACACAGCGTAAATTTGATATTGTAAATGTAATCGTGGAAGCACAACGTAAATGTGCTATGACTTCCATGATGAGAAATGCTTTAATAAGACGACCATGGGTCAATTTCTTGAACCAGATATTAGACTACAACTGTAGTATGAAATTACGAAAAGCTGTCCAGTACTGATTCTTAATAAACATTCAATTCAAGTTCAAATAGATAGTTTCTCGGATACGGTAATTATTGTGCTAAGTAAACTGGCAAGTGTTTCAGTTAGATCTCTATCTTGCAATCAGACTGAACTATACATGGGAAATGGTCCAATAAACCATATTCCTTTTAGTTTTTGTAATTTCCATTGTCCCTAACTGTTTCCAGATCACTTATCCGACACAGCGCCCTCGCCATCTCGTTTTACACTTTGTCTGGTGCTTCTGGTGTAAACAGCGTCCTCTTCGGTCTCAGCTCCCAGTGGCTTGTACCTAGTTACTCCTTCCTTGTCAGTTGCTGACTGTGGAATTTATAAATGTAAGGTAATTCATAAAATTAGCAATATATACTGAGCTTGTTTTGACAATCGTACTTATTTTTGCGAGTCTCACGCTCGATGTTCGTTAGTACAGTCAGTGTAGTTTAACTTTAAGCTTTTAAGTAAGACTAAGAGTCGCAATAACAATTTTTTACTATATCAGCTGTAATACTTACAACTGTTGTAATGTCATTGTATGTCTTGAGAGTGCCAGCTGAGGCCATGGACTCGTACAGCTGAATGGTATCGCCCGAGTATTCCATCACGGCATACGTCTGAGATTTTTAAAATCATATTCAAGCTGTTTCGAACATATTTTTACTGTGCTTACATTTAACAACGATATTTCAACTTTATTGCCAAGGATTTCGAATACCTGCCCAGTTCCCACAGCACATCTACAACACAGCGGAGAGACCCGACATTGTAGTATGGTCGGATAGTTTGAGAGAAGCAGTTCTGATTGAACTGACTTGTGGTGACGAGAGTAACTTCAGTGACCAAGTAGCACGTAAAGAAGCACGCTACAACAGAGAGCTGATTCCTGGCATCGACGGGTGCGGTTGGAAAGCTCTGCTCTTTACGGTAGAGATTGGGTGTAGGGGCTTCTGGCACCATACTGTACCAGCTCTATTTAACTACTTTGGATTGGCGAAGAGGACGAAGAATAAAGCCCTGAATGAGGCTGCTTTGGTCGCTCTTCGATGTTCCTATACAATCTGGTTAGCCCGCGACAACAAGAAATGGTCTACCTGCTACGACATCGCAAGGAGGCCAGAAGTCATAAACTGTGAAAGCTGAGTGTTGGGCCCATAAAACATGTTGAAAGCTGCAACCAGGATCACAAGTACTGGTGGAATACAGAATGACTTGCTAATCAGATTGATAGATGGAGTTGCTATCGAAAGATATAGAACTCAGGTAAACATCTAACCTGTAATAGTTTATTGTTGATTTTTCTAACCTCAAACGAAGATGCACCAACATCTGTAATCCATTGGCATGTTAATGATTAATAACTTACTACTTAATGAGTGTTATTATAAACTACGAGTACAGAGCTATAATTGGTCAGGTTTCAGAAAAAATTTGGAAAAATTCGCGGTCAGTGGCACTCTCAAGAAAACGACTGTTATGAGCTTGAAATATCTAACACAATAACACTCACATCATCAGAATAGGAAACACCCAGGTTAAAATCGTCAAGTTTGTCTTTTCCCTTTGACTTGGAGGCTGAAGTGGTAGGTTCCTCTTCTTCTGCTGGGTCATCTTCTATGTCTTCTGTCCAGTCGTCAAACTATATTATTATTCATTGTAATATGGCAATAAAATTTAAATTTTGTTTTACTTAAATTAAGTTATAAACTATTAATGGCATTTTTCAATCAAAATTCAGTGAGAAAGTTGTGGTTTTTTCTAGTCACGAAGCGCTGATAAACGGTGAATTTTCATTATTCATACTTAGAGGCAACTTTTGGTACCAAATTTATCAAAATCAGAGACAACAAATTCTGTGCCAGCTCATTACATGGCGCTTATTACATAGCAGTGGCGTAGGACTGATGAAAAGTTTGAAAATTAGAAATTTTCAGAAAATGTGTTATTGGACTGCCGATCTGGGGAGCAACCTAGGGCCCTCTATATATTCATGCCCATTGTAGGCTGCATCCCGATCCCCGAGACTTCGTCTTACTTTCGTCTGGTTTCCACTCTCCCTTCATACCAAGTTACTAGCTAGGTAACAAGGTAATCGAGGAGACAGTTTTCAACGTAACAACGATTTCAGCCGGTTCGGACAAATCTTTGTTCTAACCATTTGAACAACAAATCAGTGCACTTTCCATCTGTACGCGTCCTCACACACTGTTCTTAAACCAGAGTTACCTTTATACCAACATAGTTCACGAAAAATTTACTTGTATGTACTGTTACACCTAATCAACCAGCCAATTTCACGCTATTACAACTCCCTGCAACTCCTCTGCAACTCCGAGAGCTCTTAATTACGCCTTATATGTAATTAGCTTTGCAAATATCACGTGCTAGATGCAGCTCTTAATTACGCCTTATATGGTGCGTAATAATAGCTCAATATCACGCGCTATATATCCAACCAGTAAACGCGCTCAATAGCTATCTCGTGACTGTCACGTGACAGCTATCAAAGGAAATTCTCTATATGGCGCTTCCGGTGGAAACTAGGAAAGAGCTAGTTTGAGCATTAAATAGGCGGGACACCGGTAATATTTAATAACTTCTGATAAGCAGGTGGCGGTGAAGCTGAACGTCAGCCTGTGTGCGATTGCTATTCCTGCGATATCAGACACGACCACACTTCACACATTCTGGAGAGCCTCCCTTTATAGGAGGACTCTTATGCAAATAAAGACCTCAGTAAAGAAGTACTACGTGTCCCTGAATTTTGCGGAAATTAATATATTCGCCTGACTATCATGAAACGTTCAGAGTTCGACGAGGAGGGCAGTTCAGTCCCTCTCGTTGAGCAATTCACAGGAGTTGGCATCAAGGTCTCCTTCAGTGGAAAGGTTTCGGAGACAAAGGAAATGCAGCAGTTATCTGGAGGACAGAAGTCTCTGGTTGCTCTGACTCTGATATTCGCTATCCAGAAGTGTGATCCTGCTCCCTTTTACTTGTTTGATGAGATCGATCAGGCGCTGGATCCTCAACATCGTAAAGCTGTCGCAGGTAAAACTTAAACGTCTCGTCACCTCCATTGACTTACGAACTAAAGAGTTCTATTGATTGAACCAGTCATTTCCGATGACATTTCTTACAAATATTTTGCTATAAACCAACTTTAATTTCAGAGTTGATAAGCAAACAGTCGGACACGTGCCAGTTCATTACAACAACATTCCGTCCTGAACTTGTCCAGGTAACTTATTTCCGACAATTCCCAGTCGTTTTACCCAGACGGAAATCGTTCATAGACATAATCAAGAATTTTAAGGAATAACGTTCGCGCATAGTTTTACCGTTGATGACTTTGCTAACCATGTCCTATATCATGACTGCTTACACTTTCCCTTTCCCAGGCAGCAAACAAGCACTACGGAGTGATCTATCGCAGCAAGGTGTCCCACATCCAGCAAGTTACCATGGAGGAAGCTCTGGACTTCATCGAGGATGAAGCACCTGACAAATAAACACCCAACAAACTGATCGAA